GTCTGAGATGTTGTCGTGGGGATTTTTGGGAGCCACTCTCCCAGTTTGGGCGTCACGTCCCCAATGTTCCCATTACCACGAGAACCACTTGTGCCTTAACCTTCCACATCTTTTCTAGCTCTTCTTTCACCCCTTGGTATTTCTTGAGCTTCTCGTGATGATGATGATGATATCTCCCCCCTGACCTGTCGTCCTGGCTCCCCCTTGCTGGAGCATTCGTATTGTACCTCGTCAATCTCTAGTTGTGATAGCAGGTGCTTCTTGCGGATGTTATGCTCCAGCAAGAGTGAGCCAGGACGACAGATCAGGGGGGAGATATCATCATCATCATCACCCCCACAATTGGAGACTGGGTACCAAGCCCCAATAATAGACCTGGATAAGCTTGATTCAAGAGCTGCTGACCTGAGATATAAGATTATAAGCAAGATGGACACCTGGAACTCCCGTAGCCGGTTACCAAGACTAAGTGACGTGCCTTCTAAAAGTCTACTAGATGATATGAATGCAGCACTAAGAACAATCCCTACTACGACCATCACTGAGACCAACAGGCTCATATACACCACAGCAACTGTCATCCTTGAGATGATTGGCTACAAGTTCAACAAAGGCCATAAGGAGCAGTATGGAGAAGGAGGTTGGAGAACAAGATCAAGGCAGCACAGGGAGAAGTTAGCCAGCTATTGGAATTGCAGAAAGGCGTGATAAGGAAAGGGGTACCTAAGAAGTACAACTCACTGTCCATACCTGAGGCCTTAGAGACTGCCAAGCAAAGGCTCACAGCCCTGGCCACACGGTTGAAAAGGTACACCAGAGAAGTTGAAGCCAGGAAAATAAACCGAACGTTCTCCACTGAGCCATCCAAGGTGTACTCTCAGTGGCAGGGTAATAACATGAGAACAGACCCATCAAGGCTGGAGACTGAACAGTTCTGGAAGAGCATATGGGAAAAGGAGGCATCACACAACAACGCTGCCCAGTGGCTGGAGGACCTGAGAGCAGACCACAGCAACCTCCCTGCACAAGACCCAGTAATCATCACAATGGCAGGCATTCAAGAGAGGTTCTCAAGTATGAAAAGCTGGACAGCACCAGGCCCTGACATGATCCACGCCTACTGGTTAAAGAAGCTAACTTCACTCCATGAGCACCTGTTCGGGACAAATGAACCAGCTACTAATGAGACAGAACCAGCTACTAATGAGATAGAACCCACCCTGAGTAGTTAACAGAAGGCCAGACAGTCCACCCAATAACCTGCCAATGCACATCATGGAAGCTCCTGTCAGGCATCATAGCAGCTAAGATGAGCAAGCACATGGCTCAATACATGAGCAGTGCCCAGAAAGGAATTGGTAGTAACACCAGAGGAGCAAAGCACCAGCTACTGGTTGATAAAGTAGTCACTCAAGATTGCAAGACCAGGCATACCAACCTGTGCACTGCCTGGATTGACTACAAGAAATCCTATGACTCAATGCCTCACACATGGATCCTGGAATGCTTGGAACTGTACAACATCGACAAGACTAAAAGCCTTCATCAAGAACTCAATGGGAATGTGGAAAACAAATGTGTCTGAATTACTTTAGTTCGTATCAACCTTTAGCAACTACAGCCTTCATCAAGAACTCAATGGGAATGTGGAAAACAACCCTAGAGGTCAACTTCAAGCCAATTGCACAAGTCAACATCAAGTGCGGTATCTACCAAGGAGAGACTCTGTCCCCGCTGCTGTTCTGAATAGGGCGGAACCCCCTCAGCCAGATCATCACCAAGAGTGGTTACCGATACCGACTATGGAATGGAGCAACCATCAGCCACCTCCTCTACATGGATGACATCAAGCTG